TCCTGCTGGAGCTTCCTCCTCACATTCGTTAGCAGCTCAGAGTTGGGGCTTGTATTTTCTTTCCACTGTTTTTCTTGGACTTATAAAAGCTGCGTTTTTGTTTTTGTTTTTGCTATAGGGTGTATGCACTCTCCAGAGACAGAGAGAATGAGAGTAAGAACTCATTCCCAGTGGGGATGGCCACGCCGTAGTCCTTTCTTCTGCCAGAATTTTGGGCGCGCGCGCACACACACACGTACCTAGTGTGTTTTTCAAGCTGCTGGGTCCAAGACTCAAACTGCACACTCAGCCGTGTGGGATCCTGCTACCTTTGCCACCAGTGCTGGCCTCGGCTGTACTTTAATTTCTGCCCTGCAGATGGTGTACTGTACCCCAGGGGCCGCAGGCTAAGCCTGTAGGAAGTAAGGGTGGTGGTGAGCCTAGTGCCGCGGCTGTGCTAAGGTAGGCGTGCCGGGAGTCGAAGCCCCCCTGTGCCTGGTGTGGAGAAGACAGTCAGGACTCGCTCTTGAGCCTTGCTATGCGGGACGTCTTCCAGAGGATGGAGGTCCCGGCAGGGAGCTGCTGGCATCTTCCGGGTTAGGGTTCGTGGCCCAGTGTCCCACGGATTGCACACGAGCGTGCGCACAGTGACACATTTAGATTGACAGGTCATCATGCGTTCACGTCTAGCGTCAGTCTGCCGCGCTCTGCCCTCCGGGTGCTGGGCGTTGAATGAGCTGGGGGCGCAGGGCTGAGCAGGCGTGGACGGGCTCCCCGCCCCCGTGAAGGCTGGTGTCCTGAGGGAGAAGACTGGGCCAGGACGGCAGCTGAGGGCATCGGGCCGGGTGGAAGCAGAGCACCTGGTTATTTCCACAGGTCTCCCAGCCCCTGCCCAGAGGAGGGAGGAGACACTAACCTTCAGGGCAGGGGCCGTGGAGGTGTGAGGAAGAGGAGGTCTTGCCTGGGCCTCATCTGTGCCTCCAGAAAGAGACCTGGGGCTAAGACTGCGGCAGACTGAGATACCGAGGTGTCTGCCGGGCCGCGGCGTTGGTGGGACACTGTCCGGGGTGGGCCCCACTGTGTGAACCACACCGCACCCCTGCTCCCGAGGTCCTGCCTGCCCTCGCCTCGCCTCACCCCCGTCCTTCAGAGGCCCACCTCCCCACCCAGCCTGCAGGACAGACCTGCCTGGGTGGCCCTGCAGTCTGCGGTGCTTCCTCTCCCTGTCACTCACTGCTTCACGCAAACTCTCCCTCTTTGTCATCTCTTCTCTTATTGTA